AAATACTATCTCAAAAGATTTCTTTCTTTCTCAATCCATAAGCATCTCCGTATCCAGTAACGTTTTAGTGTGGAGTCACAGCAGCATCTCAGGCTCTACTTCTAATTCTAGCTTTCTTGCTTATTCTACCACATCTTTAGTTATTGCTTCCACTGGTGTCCTGAACCCCTCAAAGCTATTCACAGGGTCTGGAGTCAACTTCTTCCCAACTCTCTTTCTATGCTGATATTTTTACATCCTCCTACAAGTTATTAATGTTTTTAATGGTATCCAGGATGGTAACTCCTTTCTATGTTTTCAATTAACTGTTTGCATCTATCAGAGGAATCTTGTCTGTAGTAGCTGTAAGTACTGAATGTATTTTGTAAATTATGTATTGAAAGTCAGAATTACTCCTTGACCCGGGGTTTACAGAAGGGATGTGTTTTATCAGTCTTGTAGGCATTAATCTCCTTGTCCATCTTCCTCAGAGCACTCAAGGGTGTGAGTACTGGAGAGGAATCTTTATTTCTGAGCAGTATGTCTCCACAGTGTCATCTGTAAATCAGGTTGTAAACAGAAATGCTGCTGTCTAGGCTTTGCCATTCCATTCACAGATCACAGATCTGAGCACAATTCCTCAGAGCACAGGCTTTTTGGAGCAGCAAACAGTGCTGACTTTAACCTGAAGCCATCAGCTACATTAGCCTTAAAAAGGAGAGTCACCCTTTGAACCCTAAGGCCAGGCACTAGAGTCTCAACTCAACTCGAGCTATGAAACTCCTATGTAGAAGAGTCTTTTCCCAATATAAGGCTGTTTCATCTACACTGAAACTGTCATTTAGCACAGCCACCTCCATCAATTAACTCAGCTGCATCTTCTGGATAATTTGCTGCAACACCTACCCTGGTCCCTGCTGCTTCACATGTGACTGTTACATCATGGAAATGCCTTCTTTCCTTAGACTTCATGAACTAACCGCTGCCGGCTTCAAGGAGTCTTCCTGTGGCTTCTTCATCTCTCTCAGCCTTTACAAGAGCTATGGACTTGTTCTGGATTAGGCTTTGTCTTAAAGGACTGCCATGGCTGGTATGATATAATATTGAGATTCTGAGACCACTAAAACTTTCTCTGGGTCAGCAGTAAGTCAGTTCTGCTTTCCTCAAATTCACAGCTAAGGACCAATTCCAATTTCCTTCAAGATTTTTCCCTTGAGTTCACATCTTAGCTCACTGGCTCAAACAGCCTAGTTTTCAGCCAGTCTCAGGAATACGCCCTTCACATTACACTCACCACCAACCTTTTAGAATGACTTTCAATGGCTTTTCAACCACTATCCTGTGGTCTTCAGGTCCCATTCAAGTTTTATCATCTAGCAAAACTATTACAGCAAAAAGACCAGCTCTCATGGCTCTTTAGTTTCCTTCATACTGGACTGAATTTCATGACCCTGACAGGGTATCAGGATTACTGGCATGTCCCAATCCATCACCCTGCACAGAAACCACTGTGATTTTACTGTGAAATCATTGCAAAGCTGAGGCAGAAACCATGAGGTGAAATGGGAGCACCTGGTGTCAGAAAGCAAGGCAACACTCTAAGAAAGGACAGGTCATTTCAAAAGCATCGCATAGGCATTCCCAGTAACGAAATCAAGCCCAATTTAAGCAATAAAAGAACTAATTATAGAAACTGATTATAAACTGATTCAAACAGGAACTGATACTAACATAAATAGATTAAAAATATGAATGGAATATGAAACTTCAACACATTGCATCACAAAATGCTAATTAATTACAAAGGGGAAAATGAGTAATTTCTTTTTTTAGGAGAAACCTAGCAGATATCTTGAATATCTGACAGAAGTTATAATTCACAGTGTGGTAAATCCAAATTGGAGGCCACTTGGTAGAGCGCAATAAGAAAAGTATGGTCTTATTTCTTTGACACCCTGCCCAACATGGAGTTTAATTGTACTTGGGCGGAAACTGTCACCTTCCAACACAACTCCCATGCGTGTCCCCTTTGCTGTTTTAACAGACTCTACTTATCCATTCATTTAGTGTTCCTGTGGACTGAAGACGGGGCCTGGCCTATCCTAGGCAAGTGTTCTGTTACTGAGCTCTAGTCCCGCCTGGTAACAAAACCAAAAGCTCTCTGGGGCAAGTGTGGCTCTGGCATCTACTGTTTTCTCTATGTAATTATTGCAGGCATTCTGCCATAATGACAGAGAGCTAACATTTTCAATAGTAACTGTTTTTGAGTAATTGTTTCTTATGAATGACTTTGTGTCATATAAAACTTAAATCAATTTATATATATATATATATATATATATATATATATATATATATATATATTATCCTATTGATTTGTCTTTCATCGATTTAGTTCTCAAGTTCAGCCAAAACCCTGTGGTCTATCACTGATAACGTCTCTAAGTTGATGTTTAAATTGTGGTGAAACAGGAGATCTCCTACTTGTAGTAATTATATACTATGGTGCTGAGGAGTGACGGGGCAGCGTTTGGACACTCAACTTTGAAATGATCAAACTCTGGTAATAGCTCTGAAAATCTAAGATTGTTTCCAAAGAACTGTTTAAAGGAATTTGTAAATTGGATCACAGCCTACCTTACCTTCCAGTGACTTCCAAAGTATTTTAGATAAAAAGTGAATTGCTTACAGTGTTCTGGGACACAGTTACTCCTCCCATCCCATTTCTTCTCACCTTCCCCTCACTCCATCCTCCCGCCAAACTGGACTGCTACTGTGATTGTAAGACACCAAGCAGTATGTGAGGAACACGAGAGCTTCTACAGCTAAGCGTCTACAGCAGAGCTCTGCCTAGAACTCCCACCCCCTCCTAAGGCTCCTAAAATGTCACTTCCTCAAAGATGTCCTTACCCCCTGAATTAAAATAACCTCCTAAGCAGGCATGGTGGGTTATGCCTATAATTCTATCCCAGGATACACGAGTTTCAGGCTGACCTAGGCTATACAGTAACATTCTGCCTCAAAAAAACAAAAACAACAACAACAACAACAACAAAAAAAAAAAACCAAAAAAAAAAAAAAATCCCCAAACATATATAGGGCTGGAGAGGTGGCTCCGAGGTTAAGAGCAATGCCTGCGCTTCCAGAGGTCCCGAGTTCAATTCCAGCAACCACATGGTGGTTCACATCCACCTATACTGAGATCTGATGCCCTCTTCTGGCATGCGGGTGCGCAGGCAGATATAGCACTCATATACATGAAATAAATAAATCTTAAAAAAATATATATATATATCCTGGATTCCCTCACTGTTCTCTATCTCCTTATAAATCCCAGCCTCTTTTATCTGTTTTGCTTTCATTGTTACTTCAAATATACCCAACACATGTTTTTCTGTCATTAAGAACATGTATTTGTTTTATTCAATGTTCTATCTGTAGTATCTGCAATAGTTAAAGTACTGGATACTCAATAAACAGTTGATCACAGAAAGATGATTAAGTTGCACCCGCTATTCATATGGTGTGTGCATAATGGCATCTGGCTTTCTAATTCAAGATTAACTCACCTTCACTTTTGTTTTATTAGGCAGAATTTCACTCTGTACCCCAGGTTGGTCTTGAACTCATGGCCATCCAGCCTCAGCCTCTGGAGTGCTGAGATTACAGGCAGAAATCATTCCATTCAGGTCCCACCTTCAGATTTACACGTGAAAGGGACTGAGAATTCCACAACAGACTGCATTTAGCAAAGTGAGGACTAAGAAACAAGCACAGCTGAGCCTGTCCAACACTGCTTCACCCCACACAAAGTACTCTACCCCTAGGAGACCTCTCTCTACAAAGACACTCAGCCTCTGTCCTCAGTGGCCCTCAGGCACTGGCTAGAGCTCTATCTCCTCCAGTTCTGGCTTCTGGTGAATGTGACCTTAACACGTGATCATATAAAAGGACTAGCTTGGCTGATCAGGACTTTATCTTTCTAGAATTTTAACTCCAGTTTTAAATGGGCTTCATTTTCCATAATTTAAACCGGCACCCCCTATTTCCCTGCTCTCAAGATGCTGACCCCAAGCATAAATGTTAATATCTCAAGGAGAGAGATGTCAACCTCAACACAACAGCATACATGTCTCCCGTGACCATCCAGAATTAACTCCAAGGACAGAACAATCAGTCAAACAAAAGCAAGGTGGTCCCTCACCTAGTAAGCCCTATGCCTGACCTTGAGGCTGTGGGCTCAGAGTCCTTCACTACAGCAAACTTCTTTACCTAGAGATCGTAGCTTTAGACCTGCACATCACAACACCAAGCCTGACTATATTACTGTAGAGACAATTTCAGAGTTTTGGTTTCTTAAAAAAAAAAAACAAAAACAAAAACAAAAAAACAGACACACACACAAAGAAATATTAGAAAAATATTCATTCTCATCCTAGGTGTGGGGATACGGGGCTGCTTCAGACTGCCTGCAGCAGTTGACCATGATTTGCCTCATGCTCTACTGAAACATGATTTGCCAGCTGCAGATAGTTTCTGTAATTGTGCAACATCTGGAAATCCAGCAACTTTTCAGAGGGTACATAAATGCTAATTGTCCCCCCTGTCCTGCAGGCGTCATTCAGAGGGGTTAGTCAGATTCAGGGATCTCTCTTTCTTGCTCCCTTCTACTCTTCTTTCTCACTTATCTAGTGTTAGGGGGTAAAACCGGGAGGATAAAGGGTGAGAAAAGAAAAACCACAAAGTCGCAAAATCCAGCTACATCCCATCTCCCAGCTCCTGCTGCTTCAGCACTTACACTGTGACCCAGTAACTTCCTGAAACGGTGCCAGTGTTCTCAGCTTCTCACAGACAGGTGGCTGCTACTTTAAGCCACTCAACTGTGGAGTAACTTGTACCATCACTGTGCCCGAGGCGGGCTCTGATCACTAATAAATGTCTTATAAGTAATTAGGCAATATATACGTCTACTGTGAAATAAATACTGCTCCTCAAATAAAGACCATGTGGACTTAGCTTACCATTCAGGAGGCACCATACTTCCTTCCAAATCCCAGAATGTGTTTTTGCCATTCATTTCAGTGGTATACATGACCCATCGGTGACGGCCTGGAAGAAGTGAGTGAAAATGTTGATGAATATTAATAACTAATATTCACTCATATTTTCACTAAAGCCTTAGTTATTCCTCAACCAGCAATTTTCCTGAATAGCCACACATTGAGACTTTGACTTACTCAAAGCTAAGCACAGAGCTGAGCATAATAATTGATCTACTACCCACTATCCATTTTTCTTCCTCCCACCCAAAGTCTCCTACTTGCATTATCTTCTCTGGAATTTGTCCGTTCTCCTCCTCTCCTGCACCTCTCTCCTAACTCCTGATCCTTCTCTCTTCCCAGCCCATGAACCTTCACTCTGCCCTTTTCTCCCACTCAGCCCAGTGTCAGCACTTTATTGGCCAGTCGGGATAATTTTGTGGACAAGGTTACACAAATGCCATTTGGGTTACAGAAAGAATTTGGGGGGGAGGGGCAAGCAATTAACATTTGAATACATGGTGGCTCTAGGTCAACCCCCACATGAAAATGAAGATTTTTTTTTTAAGCACATGCACATAATACCAAGAAGACAGTATCACTTTGTTGTGACACAGCAGTGATGCTGGGGGCACGGCATCATGCTGTACCATGAAGTAGGCTTCATCACAGGCTGGGGACTGAGCTGGGGGCTGTGTTCACAACCTTTTTACAGTGGAGAATCCTTGCCTCTCCCCAACATGCTGACACAGAATAAGCAGAGGGCATGTGTGGTCTGTCTGCCCAGGGTATTCCCAGGAAAGAAGTTCTTTAGTGATCAGAGCAAGAATGCATTCACAACACCACACATTAATTCTAGGTTTCTAAATAAATTAAAATTACAAAAGGAGCACTGTGATCCTTTGGAAATGTGTGAATTTTACATAACAGGCAAGTATTATAAATGGTGGTTAGGTAAGAGGACAGTTCATGGCACCAAAATAGTATGGCTGTGTTGTTTTATTTAACAAATACCTGTGAAATGAGTTGGGCGGCCTAGCTACTGTTTCCAAAACTATTTCCAGGATGGGGAGAAAAGCCGTCAGGAACGTGCCCACCTTGTAAACACAAGGGCCTGAGCGTCATCTCCAGAGCGCACATTAAGTGAAAATAAATACCTACATGCAGGCACGGTGGTTGGTACACATTATACCAACCCAGCGACAGGTGGCTCCCGAGGGCAAACTGGCTGGCCAGCCTAGCCTACTTGGTGAGTTCTAGGCCAGTGAAAGGAAAAAAGGTGAAGGTGAATGGTGCCTGAGGAATGATTCACAAGTTGTCCTCTGGCCTATACACCCACACTCCACATACTCCATACACACCCAACACAGTGTATACACACCCAACATAGTATACAGACACACACACACTACACACACCTCACATACGACAATATGCACCCAACATAGTGTACACATTGGTAGCTACCCTCTCTGTTCATTCTGTCAGGGTGCTGGGAAGAAGCAAGGAGTCTGCACTGTGAAAAGGTTGCGAGATCAACCCCCAGCATACACATATACACACACTACGTATTACACACAAACATACACACACCACGTATTATATATATATAATATATACACACACCACGTATTACACACATACACCCAACATCATACACACACAAACACTACACATACCACATACACATGCAGACATTACACACATATACCAACACAGTACATACATACTATACATACCACATACCATACACCCAATGTAGTATACACACATCACATACTACACACAAACATACACCTAACACAGCACACATATACACACATAATACACACACACTACATACACACACACACCAAAAGTGCTTAAAGTTTCCATTAGGTCCATGGCAGGACAGGTGAATTCAAGATCAGACTGAGGGGCACATAAAATACACATCACAAAAAAAGAGAAGAACGAACAACTAAACCTGAATGATAATCCAACAAGGCAGGGACTGTCAAGGTTGATGGAATGAGCCATGGGAAAAGTTTCATAAATTAGGCCTTGGCAACAGATTTATACTATGACAGAGCAATGTCACATGACCCTTAGCAATCTCAAGTATATAGAATGTTAAAAGTCAGGACTGGAGAAATGGCTCAGCAGTTAAGAGCACTTGCTGCTCTTCACAAGACTTGGGTTCAGTTTCTAACACCCACACAAAACAGCTCACAGTCACCTGTAACTCCAATTCAAGGGGATCTGATGCCTCCATGGACATCAGGCATGCAAGTAGCATATAGACATACATGCAAGCAAATATTCACACCCACAAAATAAAATAAATCTAAAAACATTATTTTTATGTTGAAAGTTCATGTTCACACTTAGTGGCTCTACTTGTAGAAATTTGTTTTTAGACCATTTATGTATTTACTTAAATAGCAGTTTTTTTTAATTTTATGTGTATGAGTGTTTTGCCTGTATGTATGTATGTATGTATGTATGTATGTACACCACATGTGTGCCTGGTGCCCCTAAAGGCTGGAGGAGGGCAGCAGATTCCCCTAGAACTGGAGTTACAGGCAAGCTATCAGATCCCACAAGGTACTGTGAACTAAACTCGAGTCCTCTGCCAGAGCAGCAAGTGCACTTAATCACAGAGCTATCTCTCTAGCCCCCATTAAAAAGTCCTTGAAATATACATAAGGTAAAGTATTAAAACAGAAGCAAAATTATGGGGCCAATGAGATGGTAGCAAGTAAAGGTGCTTGTGGCCACGTGTGAGGACACGAGTTTGACCATTTCATTGTATACTCAAGTTGTCCTGACACATGAGCATGATAGCACTCAAACATCCACACATAAAAGTAAATAAATGCATGTGATTAAAAATGTTTAGAAAAAAGAAATAGAGTAAAATCACAACAGAAGGCACTTTTCACTTTTTTTCTTTCTTTTTTTTACCCCTGTACTTAAGAGTTAAGTCTAGGGCCTTGGGCCACACAAGTTAAGTTCTCTGTCACTGAACTATTTAATATTCTCAGCTCAGCTGTCACTTTTTACTCTATACACTAAATGTTAACATTTACAATACTATCATCTTAATAATCGGCAAAAATGAAGATACTTATATTTTAGTGTGAGAACAGAAGAAAGCAAAAGAAAGTTTCATTCCCATGGAGGAAATGATAAGTAGAGAGATGACCTCCCTGAGGCTCTGTCAACATTTCGTGGAGACTTGAGCCTTGGCTGCTTTATCTATAAAAATCAGTTTTCAGATGATTTCTTTTAGGTTTTTGTTTTTCTTGCTTGGTTTTCTCTTTCGTTCTTTCTTTTTGAGATAAGGTTTCAATTCACTCTGTAGCCCTGGTTGCCCTGGCTAGTCTCAAACCTTTGGCAGTTCTCTTGCCACTGCCTCCAGAGTGCTGAGATCACAGAAGCCACAATGCCCAAATCAGATAATTTCTTAAAATCTGACCCACGTCTAAAGTTCTGTGGCTGGTGCTTAAAATGTTATGGTTATAGAATAAGATATAATCCTCTGACCACTTTCAGCCATGGGAATATGGCTTACATACTACTGTGAAATAGTTTTAGCTAAAAGAGGTCTTGGTTTCTTCACCTGAAAGGTGAGGCATAGAGTCGTCTAAAGAGCATATTTCAAGAATAAGCTCACTAGGCTTGGTAGCAGGTGCCCAAACTGGCTGAGCCATCTTCTGTCCATCTTTTAATTTTCTATTGAGTTTTCCTTTCCAAGTACTTTGTATCAACTCATGCACGGTGTGAAAAACAGACTCAAAACAACCCCAATCCAATTATTTATATAAAAAACACTGCACTCAAGCCGGGTGCGGCGGCGCTACACAGGGAAACCCTGTCTTGGAAAACAAAACAAAACCCCAAACCAAAAAAAAAAAAAGAAAAAGAAAAACCCGCACTCACCAAAAAATTGCTTGTTGTCCTCATAGTATTTGTTTCCATGTTTGTCTTCTCCCACCAATCTACCAATCTTTATATCATTTGCCCTGTAAATACAAGGGGGAGGGGGAGAGCATCTCAGAATGATTCACTGTTCAAGACGCAAACAAAAATAAAGTGAGAGTAGTGAGAGTACCATTTACTGCAGCATCGACTTCAAGAAAGAGATACAGGGGCTGGGCGCTGGCTGTACACCTGTAGCCTTCAGCATAAGTCTCTCAGCGCTCAGGAATCAACTTTCTGGCTGAGAGCTCTGAAGTCTCCTGTGTTGTCCCAGCAGCATGAAGACAGGTTTGTGTTTCGAAGGGGGGGAACGAACCAACGGACCCGATGTGCTTAAATTACAATTTAAAACGCTACTTTCAAGCCACGGTTCATGTATATCTACTATCCCTGCACCCAGAGACACTAGATAGCAAAATCTTCGGGAGTCAAAGTACTTCATCTTTGTATTACGAACGTCCCCTGAAGTTTTCAGTCCATTACGGTTCTCCAGGTGGTTCCCGCAGCTGCTGCTGCTCGTGGGGCTATCAGGCCTTGCACGGAGGGGCAGGCCCGCCTCCTTCAACTTCTTACCGTTGACAGTGGAGCGCAACCCCACCTCCCGCTCCAAGGTCACCAAGGAGTAGTCTGGAACGCCTCCTTACAACCCACAACTCGGGCCGGTGCGGCCCTGCCGCCCTAGCTGGTGGGTCACAGCGCCATCGCCAGGGGCTGAGCCCGGCCCACAGACTTCTGTCCAAAGACCTCAACACTGGGACTGCACCGGTTGTCCTTGACGGGAATCGCGGACCTCCAAGGTGAGCTAACCTAGTCCCCTTCGCGGGTCCGTCCCCAGAGACCCGGGGTCTAGCTCTGGCCTCCTACCTGAAGAAAACCCGCAGAAGGCCACGCAGGCCGCCGTGGCCGGTGATCTGCTGCAGCCCGCGCTTCAGGACCACCAGCAGATCGCCCATGGCTGCCTGTACCGCCCGCCTTCGCGGTGCTCCGGCTAAAACCCACCGGGCGGAAGCAGCTGCTCACGCGCAAGGAGCCGCGGGCTGAAGGTTCCCAAGCCAGAGGAAGGCGAGGAGGTCACTCTGCGCACGCGCAGAACTGGATTTCACTTGCAGGCGCAGGTTGGTGTATTCCTGAGATAAATTCTTATGTTTTCAGAGGCTTTACCCAGAAAGCGACCCTGTATGTGTGGGGCAGTACAAGCAAAGCTTCCTCAGATGAGAGTTCCTCTTGTAGAAACTTCAGTTCCTTCCTCCAAAATACTATGGAGCCCATTCCAAAAAATTCCTTATAGCACATGAAGCTAAAGAATGCACTAGGACCTCATATCGATCGGTATTGTACATTTGATACAGAGTGCGTGAGATTTTGAATACATACGTTGGCGGTGTGTTGGTAGAGGAGTGATGAGGAATTGAAAAGTATAAGATTAAGTCAAATACCTCAAGGGTTTGCTATTTTAGTTGCTAGGTTAATATTCAAAATGTAAGCACAGACACTACATAGACTCACAGTTAGTGCTTTACAAAATATTAATAAACAATACAGGCAAACTCTTAAACATAATAACGAGAGAGAGAGAGAGAGAGAGAGAGAGAGAGAGAGAGCACTCAGAGAAAGATAAAACTAAAGATTAAAAACAGGAACTTGCCAAGTAGACCAGGTTGGCCAGACTGCAAGCCTCAACGATCCACCTGCCTCCACTTCCCCAGGACTGAGACTACGAAGGTGCCACTCTAGCCACATTTCCTACGTGGGATCTGAGCTACAACTCGGGTTCTCAAGCTTGCAAGGAAAGCACTCAGAGACTGAGCCATCTCCCCAGCCTGCTCAGATTTTCCAACATACAACATCAAGATATGTGTGCAACGTAACGTTGCAATTTACCACTACAACTTCTTCTTTAATGGTTTCTTAAAGACTTCATTATACAGGTTTTATCTAAAGCCATTTTCATGCAAGATATAACTTGACAAGTATATTCTCCTCTACATCTCACTGTCTTCCTCTTCTCCATCCTCCTGTGAGTTCCCTTTGGTCCTCACAGAGTTCACTTCTGCTTTCATGTTGCCTGTACATATATGATTTTCTGTGTCAACAGAACCTAAGGCCCAGTGATGGAAGAAAACATGAAACAGCTCCCTTTCCAAGACTAGCTTACTTCATTTATTCTGGTTAACTACAGTTGTGTCCATTTTCAAGCAAGTGACTGACATAACTTCGTTCTTCTCAGAAAAATTTGCCATTTTATAGCTGGATCACTTTTGGCAAAGCATCAAGAATGTTCGAATTATAGCAGCAATACAATCATCACCCCATGTGTATATTAAGTGCAATGCCTGTGAATTCCTGGAGGTGCGAAGACAGAGGTCAATTTTGGTGTCTTCCTCTATCAACGTCCACCTTATTATTCTTGAATGTGTACAGGGGTTTTGTTTACATGTATGTGCATGCCAGGTGCCCACAGATGCCAGAGGAGGGTATCAGATCCTTTGAAAATAAAGTTACAGACTATTGTGAGCATCCACGTGAGTGCTGGGAATCAAACCCAAGTCTTCAGCAAAAGCAGCCAATACTCTTACCCTTATTTTAAAAATGTTTTAAAATTTTGTACTTATATGAGTACCTGAGTGTATATACATACAACACATGTATGCGGTGTCCTCAGAGAACAGAAGAGGAGCTCAGATTCCTAGACTGGAGTTACAGGCTGTAATGAGCCACTAGGTCTTCAGCAGTAGCAGCCAGTGTTCTTAACTGTTGAACCATCTCCCCAGCTCTACCACCTTATTTTTGGAGATGAGGTGTTTGACTGAACCTGAAATTTGTCTAGATTGGCTGACTTGGAGTCCTCAGGATCCACTTGTCTGTGTGTCCATCCCCACCTTCTGCCCTAAACACAGATGCACACCACTATTCTTGGCTTGTACGGGTTCTGTAAATCCAAACTCAGATCATGTTTGAGCAGGAAGCACTTTACCCAAGAAGCCATCTCCAAAGCCCTACAGACATTATTTATTTTTAAGGCTGAATAAAAAAATAAATAAATTCAATTTCATATACGTATTTAATATCCTGTATCTACTCATTTATCATGGTAATTTACGTTGTTTTCATCTCTTGGCCATTGTGAACAACGTGCCAATGAACATATGTGTGCAAATACTGAGATCCTGTTTCCTAAACATTTGGACATATGCCCAGAAGTGGGACTTCTGGATCATACAGTAATTTTAAGTTTTAAAGAATGATTATATTGCTCTTTGCTGTAGTTACACCATTTAACTGTCCCACTAAGAGCGCACAGGGTTCTAATACCCACCCTCCACACACAGAGATTAAAAGAGAGAGAGAGGATCATGGACTGTAGTGTAGACACTGTTTATGTCCTAAATGAAATTTTTCAGATATTTGTATTTTGTTCCCAAGTTTTGGGTGTTCTTTGCATGTTCCTCAGTAACACTTATTTTCTAGAAGAGTCACAGACTCTTGGCAGGGAAGAGAAAGCAAATTGGCTTCCATTTGGCTGTCAACTCATACACTCTGAACCCAGCCATGAGGCTGTGAAGAGATGAGCAGAGGACTCCAGATATATCCCAGCTTCTGTCCTACTGCAAGTTCAGCTAACAGCCACTAGCAACTTCCAGACATACGAGTGACTACAAAGCTTTAAATCCATGACTTCTGCATCAACCCTGTTCTGACTGAATGCAGACAGGCTGTCCCTGACAACCTCTGTCCAAATTATAGATTCATGAGAAAATGCTTGTTTCAACTGGTAGGTCTGAGATGGCTCACTGTAAAGCAAATGATGCTTGACATACTATCAATAGTTCTGAAGCCCCTTCTATATCCTGTTTGCACCTTCCTACCTCCTCAACTATTAGCTATACTTAATTCTCATGCTTTTTGATCATTAGTTTTTATATGTATATGCACATATAAAAGCATTGTTACACATATGTAACAAGAAGCTGGTTAAATTATATTCAGCATGCTTTATGTACTTATTCCCCTGTCAATGCAGGCTATCTTTATTTATATAATCTTATTGCATGTGTGCTCACATGCAATGTGAGTGTGTGTGTGTGTGTGTGTTTAAGGGGGCTATGTATGTGCCTTGGTGCGTGTGTGGAGCTCAGAGGGAAGAGAACTGAAAGCCAGGCTTTCACAGAAAGTGCTTTGACCCACTAAGCCATCTTGCTGAGCTGTTATTTTTGCTCTTAAAATGCTTATATGATTTTTTTTTCTTTTTAGTTCTGGAGACTGAACCTAAGGTCTTGTAAACGCTAATCTAGGTATAAACTCTCCCACTGGTACACTTTCCTTGCCCTATGACATGGAAGACATCCAAACACCAAATAAAAAGGTCACTGAAATAAAATACAATGACAGGATACAGAAAATTGTAATGCAAGTCACATTTTAATACAGTTTCAAAAACATTTCCCAATATAACTACAAATTTAATCAGAAAAAATATTTCAAAGAAATATCTTAACCATTAGTACACCACTTTAAAGGATTATGTTTCTGAATCCTTGGCTTATTACCATGAAATGATAAAAGTATCAGAGGGGACCAATATTTTGACATTATGATATGACATTGTCATCTATAGGTTACAGATGCCCTACTGAAATATTCCATTTGAGCATTTTATGCTCTATGTAGTTTCCCCCGGCAGCTTATTATAAATAAAGCTGTTGACAAAATTGAACAGGGTATAAATAAAGCCCTTGTATTAAGTTGGCAAAATTTGCAAGATTATACTTTTAAACTTTTTGCTACTATTATTATTAGTAAAATCCACCACCATAAAAAAATTCAGCAAATATCTTTATTAAAAGAATGTACTCTGACTGCGATAAAATCTCTACATTTGTGTTTTAAAAATAAACAAATATCAGTGTATGGTATACGTCTATAATCCCAGCAATGGGGAGCTGGAGACAGAAAGATTATTACAAATTTGAGTCCAGTCTAGGCTGGGTAGCAAAATCCTGTCTTAAAAAACTGAAACAGAGATGGGAAAGGGAGGGAAGGAGGAAGAAGGGAGGTCAGGAGGAAGGGAAGAGGGGGAGAGGAGAGATAGCGAGATAGACAGAGAGTGGGGAAAGGAGAGAGAATATCAACAAAGAGATGAACAGATTTACCAAAAGTATTCATTATGAAAACAGAGCAAAGAAATACTGATTGCCTGTCATATTGATGTGGAAGACAGAGGAGTCTAAATGCTTTTGTTGTAGCAAATAATGAAACCTCAGGTTGTTGTAGCAGCCTTCTCCTACATTGCAGTGAAAAAAATTAGCGCATATCCTTTTACTTTTACAAATTATCAATTGCTTTAATCATTTAACTCACCTGGGAACCATACTGGCTTTGATAATTGCATTACTTAACAAACTGGGTGAGTCTTTTTAAGTGACCTAATAAGAATGGCTAAAGTTCAGGGTAGGGTGGAGAAGTTGCACCCCCGATCTGACTAGAAGTCAGATGCTTTCTGTGGAATGGAAAAACAACTATGTTAATAACCATTCTAAAATACTAACACATTCCAGGTTCAGTCTCTATTGTGTTTAAAACACAGCAAACCCAAAAATTTAAAACAAGCTCCCCATCTTATTTTCAAGACTAATTTTCTACCACAATGAGTAAAAGTGCTCATAAGTAATAATATACAACACTAAGAAAATTACCAATGGCTTATGTCTCATTGCCAGCAATGAGAGTGTTATATGCTAAAGGGCACCATGATATTTATAAAAGCCAAAAATATATATTCATTTCTTACTTCCCATAGTTCTAATATTATCATTATCTAATTGAGCATAAACTAATCTTTGGACCTGGTAACTAAAGCGATTACATTATGGAGGAATAAGATGCAAGGGGCTCCTTCTTAGGAATCTCATCATGATGGTATGCTGGCTCAATGGGAATTAAACAGGAAGAGAACACAATTCAGCGGGGAAAAAGACTAGTTTATTTGTTTTATAAAACAGGAGAAAGTTTAGTGTAGACGGCCAGGAGGAGACCGTCTCAGGCGTCATCTTCACCAAGAGTAGACCCTTACCATTTCTTATTTATTCCCATAGGACAGACGGTCTAATTCCTGACCCCTGACTGGCCACTCAAATTCCTTCTAAAGGAATCCAAAAGAAAAAATACTTTCCGTTTTGGTTACTCTTAAGTTTACTATTTGCAGAGGCCCTGGAAGCAACAGTTCAATTTGGTTTCTAGTGTCCCAAGAAGGAACAGTAAACTTAGTTCATAGCAATGTGACCCAGCTTTCAAAGGCTGTGACCAATTATTTGAGAGTTGTAATCTGCAGGCTCCATTTTTAAAATGTGTGGGATGACGCTGTCGATTCGTACGTTTCCGATGAGTCCTTTGAAGAACAATTCTTCAGTGATCGTGGCGCTCATCAGTCTCAAGGCGGGCAGTCTGAGAAGTAATCTAGACAGCCTGGGAGAGGAAGGAGAGACAGGCGCAAAGTCAAGAGAGACGGAGGAGGAAAGCATCCATGTGAACAGCGAAGATCGAGATTTCAAAACCTAAAGACAGAATCTTAGATTGTCAAGGCTTAGGCATGACAAACAACCTGCACAGGAAAAGCCTTGCTGTCCCAACTTGGCTGCAAGAATACTGGAACTGAAATTTTCCTTTCTTACTTTTATAAAAACAGACACCCATCTCTGCAGGACGGACAATAGCTGGAAATGATTAGGAATACAATCTTTAATTATAAGTGTATGATGCCATGCTTGCTGGGTTTAATGTCTGTGTTTCACTTTCCTTACGATAATACTGTCCACTTCTGAGAATTCTAGGAGGCGTCTTTACGCATAGCTTCAGTAAACCACGCATTAGGTCCATTCAATAACAGCTCCCCAACTCATTTCAGATGATAAGAACAATGTTTTATGTTATCAGAACACAGGAGGTTCAAAAGCTCTTTTCTTTTGAAAACACATACACAAGAGACACAGATATCTATAGACACAGACATAAACACACAGACACATAGACTCATATAGATACACACAGAGACACACAGACACAGAAATACGCACAAACATATAGACACACATACAGACACACTAGGCACACAGATATACACACTACCCTAGAAATGATGTAACAGGCAACTGATGCTATTATAAAAAGCATGGATGTGGAAAACAGTCATGGGCTCAAACAGTCACATAAGTGTCACTTCCTCCAGGCCTGTCCACAGAGCTGCTGTGAACAGGAGCAACTGCTTCCTGTCTAACCCTGTTTGGGTGTAGGTCCATAGAGATGGGACCATCAGCTTGTGTGACAGTGTGTCTGAAATTGAAAACTGTTGTTGGAGGGTAACAACTTTTAAGAAAGTAGGAAAAACTGAGACAGCCTCCTTGCTCTTGTGCTTTGGGTCATCAGGGAGTAAAATAAGAGTTACTTACAAACAAACACTGAATGAAATGGCTGACAACAGGTGGGTACCAAATGAAAAACAGAGTGGTGACCGTGCCGGGCAGATGGGAGATGCAATCGAAGGTGGCGTAAAATAGGAGAATATGACATTTCTACTCGTAACAGTTTAGATGCATGAATAGTTTCTGGAATTCTCCATTTAATATTTTTGGCTGGAGACTGACCACAGGTAACTGAAGCTATGCGTAAAGACACCTCCTAGAATTTTCAGAAGTGGACAGCATTATCGTAAGGAAAGTGAAACACAGACATTAAACCCAGCAAGCATGGCATCATATGCTTATAATTAAAGATTGTATTCCTAATCATTTCCAGCTATTGTCCTTCCTGCAGAGATGGGTGTCTGTTTTTATAAAAATAAGAAAGGAAAATTTCCTTCCACCCCAAAAACCACTGGCAAATAACTTGGAAGGTTTATAATAAGCTATGTTTTAAAATTAATTATATATGAGTTTAAAGGTGTTTTAATTTATCAATTCCTTTTTTACTAATACAGTGATTGTATCTGAAAAGTTGGACTCTCCAGCTCAATCCCTGAGCAAAGCTGGCCTCCGGCAATCCTGTGTCTTTGAGCCACTTCCTCACCCTCTCTGTTTAAAGCACTAGTTCTCAAAACTTCCTAAGGCTGTGACCCTTTGACCCCCAACCATAAAATTATTTTCATTGCTACTTTATAACTGTAATTTTGCTACTGTTATGAATTATAAAGTTAAGTATCTGTGTTTTCTGATGGTGTTAGGTAACCTCTGTGAAAAGGTCAATGGAGGACACCTAAGGGGGTCACGACCCTGAGGCTGAGAACTACTGATTTAAAGTAAGAACTCATTAGCTATTGCATGTGATGCCTGTTAACAGCTGGTTTGTGTCCTATGTGCTGGGGACAAAGCCCAGAGTAATGGTGTGCGTTACCACTAACCTAGCTTCTCTCTCCCTTATTCACTGGTAGAGACGAGGATCTTCCCGTACTACACATGAGCTCTAACACTAAGCATTAAACTAATGTGACTGACAGTCACATTATGGCTGTCAATCGCAGAGGCAGGAAATCAGGGTTGAAGGCTATCCTGGCTATCTGTAATTTCAAGGCTACATGAGACCCTATCTCAGAAAAAACACAAGTTCTTTAAACAAACCACAGTAAATAGTTCTAGCTTAGCGGTACCTGTAGGTGTCATCTGGATACGTCCTGGTGATATAATCCTGGAATTCCACATAAGCCTTTTCCTGAAATTTCTCAATCAGCTCCATGTTCTCCAGGCCTGGGTGATCTAAGACATAAAAGAATATAGCTGCTCTAGTTCTGAATGCTCATTTAATAACTCACGGAACACAGAGACAGACGGTGGAGGAATAAGCGCTTCCTTTGACACAGAAGTCCACTTCAATGTTTTGCTATTTCATTCTGTAAGCATTTACTGCCAACACCCTGTAGTAGCCATTGGTAACTATTATAATGTCTAATAGTAAAGTCCAGACCACTGTGCTACCAATATAATTTTTTTCCTTAAAAGTGGTGGAATGGATTTTGCTTTGTTTTTTACCGTTTTGCTTTTTGTTTTGTTTTTTGAGACATCGCCGCCACCTGGCCCCATTTTGCTTTTAACAACAGAAAATGACCAAAAAGACTAAAATTAAAGGACCAAATTTAAAAGCACCCATAATCCACGAAATACACAGATATGGCCAAATTTAAATGTACTTATGAATTATGAATCACAAACACTTTTATGTCTATTACAAAAAATCATAATGCATAAAAGAACATGAAATAATCCATAAAACATTTGATAGTCATATTCACACAGTAGAAATATTTAAAGAACTGCATCAATTTATATCATCTAACTTTTCAATTTTACCTAAAGAAAAATAAAATTGGCAGACTGGCTGTGCTGAGTGGAGACACGCGTGGCCTCAAAGTGTGTCTCAGGGGTAGAGCTGTTGTCTGTCCTATACAAGGTCCTATGCTGGATCCCAGTGCCACAAACAGGAAAAACGAAATGAGTAAAACTGTAAGTACAAGTTATTAGCTCCTGTGACGAACATGGCCTGCACTCTCCTGGGCCTCACCCACGCCTCATGTGAAACACTAGACAGTGCAAAAGGTTTTAATTATCTTACTCATATCACTGAGAAAAACAAACAGGTTCCCTAGGACAACTTTATTAGAACTGAAAGGAACAGAATACCTATCAGAATGAAGGCACAGACCCTCGGAGGACTGCGGAGTTCTACTCACAAACTGGGGTTTGATGGCCCTTTACTGTCTGAAAGAAAGCCAGACCCTGGCAGCAAAGCAGGAGGCCATCTGCCAACGTTTGCAGCTTTCATAAGATCCTGAGAAGGTAACAGGCCCCGAACACAGCAATAATTGTCTTGCATTCTGGCTTTACTAATGCCTGACAAGATATACCTAAGCTCAAATGATTCAGGGCTGTGTGCTCCACTGATTTTCTGTGCAGATGTCTGCTATCTTAACATCAGATTTAAAGCTGGCACAGCCACAGACACTGGAAACGGTGACAGCCATGAAGCACAGCATGGAAGTATATTAAGTATATCTTAGAATATTCAGAGTTTTCCACTCATTCCCACACTGTAACTGTGGGACATTCCTATATTCCAAAGTGACCCTCCAACGGCAGCAATCCTGCCCGCCTCCCCACTCTTTGGCTCTACAAATGACCAGTATGTGATTATTTCATATCAATGGACTCCAACAATGACGTGTGCCTGTATGAGTGGCGTCTTTCACTGAGCATAATGTTTTCAGGATGCACCAGGTCATAGCATATATCAAAACCTTTTGTGTTAATACTATTCCACTGAATGCATACATTCATATATACACCCATCTGTCTTCTAAAATTTCTTATCACACTTACGTATTTGTGTGTGTGTGTGTGTGTGTGTGTGTGTGTGTGTGTGTATGTGTCTGTCTGTCTGTGTAAGTACTCAGGGATGCATGTTCATAGTTCATTTCTGGAAGCCAGAGTCTTGCAAGAGTCAGTTCTTTCCTTTTACCATGTGTGTTCCAGGGATTGGAACTCAGGTCCTCAGGCTTGGCGGCCAACACCTTCACCGGCTGAGCCCTTTCACCAGGCTCATTTTCTTTTCTTGTTTTTAAGTGTTGTTTTTGAGCCAGGGTCTCATTTGACCACAGCTGGCCTCAGATTTGCTCTGTAGAAAAGGTTATCCCTGAGCCCTGATCATCTTGCTTTTACCTACCATGTTCTTAAACACATATCCCACCAAGCCAGGCTTCAATTATTTTTCGATGGACAATTACAGTGTCCCCTTTTTGGCTACTATCTAGTACTACTATCTAGTAGTACTATCTACTACTAGAGCCAACACAAACATTTATGTTTACATATATACTTTTGTATGTTAGGGCCATTGGAATTTAATATATGCTTCACTTGTGTGCGTGTGTACGTGTGTGTGTGTGTGTGTGTGTGTGTGCGTGTGTATGTATGTAGGCCAGAGGGAGCTGTCAGTTGTCTCTCTTCTCTGCCTTTACATTTGGCTAGGCGAGGTGCCCAGTGAGCCTCAGAGATCTGCCTATCACAACCCCATGCTGGGACTGCAGGTACATGCTGCTGTGCCTGGCTTTTTATATTGGTTCTGGGGAATTCAATCTCAGGCCCTTGTGCTTGCGTGGTGTGTACTTTACCTACAGAACTATTTTCTCAACCTCCTTATGTTTAACGTTTGAAGAACTGCTAAAGTCTCGCCCTAAGCTACTGCACCATTTCACATTCCTACCTGCAGCGGGGGACTGCTCTAATTTCTCCATATCATGAAATGAGACACTAATGTCCTGGGCATGGTGGGATACATCTGTCATCCTTAACTTGGGAATCTGAGACAGAAGGACTGCCATGAGTTCAGGTCAAGCCTGGGCTACACAGGCAGTATTAGCCATGCCAGGGCTACATGGCTGAGGCCCTATCTTAAAAGTACAAACACGACTAAATAGATGATAAAGAAAACATAAAAGGTGTTTCTGTACCTGGACTGAAGAGTACTATTGCCTTCAGGTAGGCGTACTCATATCCATCGATGCAGAGCTTAACCATGCTGTTACAAAACTCCTGCAACTTGAAAATGTGCTCCATCAGCGACTTTCTCCTCTCCGATGACATTTTATCTTTAAAACACAAACACACACACTTCTAACTGTCAGCTAAATGTTGGACCATTTTCATGCATTTTTCCTTCTCATTTGTCCTCAATATGGAATGTGATCAATCTCTTTAAAGGCTGATGCTTCCAATTCAGAATCTCTGCAATTAAGGCCGAAGCTAACAGATCACCTTCAGACAGCTCATTCAAGAAGGAGGAAATAGAAACCCAAAACTCAGTGCTGCCTTTTCAGATGCCCCTTAGGAGCAGAGGCATCCCTTGGAGAGAGAGGGGAAAAAAAAGGCCCATGTACAAAGAGGGCCGGGGATGTTGCTCAACTGGAACAGTGCTTTTTTAGCATCTCGGAAGCCCTAATTTGATGCCCAGCACTGCAAAAAGCTTAGTGTGGGGGTGTGCACCTGTAGTCCCCAAACTTGGGAAGCGGAGGCAGACAATCAGTTCAAAATCATCCTTTGATACTTAAGGAGTTCACGGCCAGAAGAGACCCTGTCTCAAAAGAAACAACAAAATGAAATAAAAACAAAACAAAACAAAAAAATCAAAGTATGGAAGACTCAAATGCTTATAACAGGATGTTATTTAATCTTACACCATTTGGAAAAATAATGAGAAAAACTATTTTCAGTTTTAAAAATTAGAAACTCTGGTTTAATAAAAAAACAAACATTGAGACCAAAACACATAAAGACCAAAGAAGAATTTAGAAAAATAAAGCTTTATAACATTTTAACTTGTCTTAAAGTGATAAGTGTAAAAGCTATTCCACGTGTTTAGCAGACAGCAATGACTCAGGACCAGGGATAAGACTGTGATGCTGCCTCTGGGAGCTTTCTTTTAGATGGGATTAAAAGTGAGTTCTCAGCCTTTGATGAGGAAGCAGATGATTTTAAAATAATGTAAACTAAAAAAAAAAAAAAAAAAAAAATCAGGTGTGGTGGTGCATACCTTAATCCCAGCAGTCTGGCTGGGAGGCCGAGGCAGGAAGATGGTTTAGTACAAGCCTAAACTATGCAGTGAGTTCTTAATGAGCCATGGACCATAAAGTAAGGCTCTGTCCCTTATCTCAACAATGAAAAAAGAGGGAAAGGAGTTAGGAAGGAAGGGAGAAAGGGAGGGAGGAAAATGTATTGACCAGTGAGTACCTAGCACATGCCTGCTGGCCAGCATGTGGGGTGGAGGGTGGGGTGTTGAAGGCAGAAGAAGACACTGATATGTTGTGTCTTGAAAAAAACAAATACCAGCCAAAAATACAAAACAAAACCAGTGAAAAGTAGATTGTGCTAAGGACCTAAACAGCAGTGACTAATGTACACATTATTCCCGAGCTTAAAGGCAGCAGCATTTTAATTAGTTACCCATTTTCAAAGTGTTTTTAAGTTACTTATTGCTGCTTTCTCAGATGAAACGCCTAAAAAAAAAAAAAAAGTATGGAGTCCATGACTTTCAAGTTCTCTCTTCTTTTAAAGAAGCCTTTTGAGGCTGGGCATGGTGGCACATGCCCACATGCCTTAAATCCCAGAGCTCAGGAGGCAGAGGCGGGTGACCTCTATCACACTCCAGGACAGCCTGGTGTGCACAGTGGGACTATGTCTGGATAAAGGTCTGGCTATGTGGCCCATGGTGGCCTTGAACTTCTGCCTTCCTAGACCAGTCTTTCCGACACCACTGTGACCAACATGTTTCCATTCTCTTTAGGTGAAACAGTAGATCCTGGGGGACCAATTCAAAACCAGCTCATCCTGTGACTCTGAGGTTATTAGGAAAAAATACAGCTTTAGCATTGGGAGACTTGGTCATGCTTTCTCTACCTACATGCACATCTATGTGGACTTTTACAGGCCTGTATGATAGGATGATGTGGGTGTGGTTTGTCCCTGCCAAAATCCATGTTGGAATTTGGTTCCTGCAGCAGTGGTGTTGGGAGGCAAGCCTTGTAAGAGGAATTAATGTCTTCCTCACAAGGGCAGACCATTCTTGAATTACAAGGCAGTTTGGATTCCTTGATACACTCACATGTATTCACTCTCTTCTAGAGATACTGCTTGATAACCCGCTCTCAGGTATTGTATTTTAGTGACAAAAATATGACTACAGAGCCTTTCAGACTCAAGTACACTAGGCTTCATGTCATTTTTCTCATTTAAAAATATTTTGAATAGGCTGGGCATGGTGAAGCATGGCTTTGATCCCAGCACTCGGGAGGCAGAGGCAGCCTGGTCTACAAAATGAGTCCAGGACAGCCAAGGCTCTTGATACAGAGAAACCCTGTCTCGAAAGAAAGAAAAAAGTTCTTGAATGATTATGAGTTTATCACAATGTTACAATTATCCAGAGTAAAGAGGTAAAACACTAATACAGTCATCAAGGTATCTAACTTTGGCCAAAGCTTTGGTAAAGCAGATGACTCCCTGAGAACATGATAAATAAAGGCGTTTTTACCTTGCTGGAGGCTACTGTGAAGACAATTGACAAACGTTGCTAATATGGTTGCTACATTCATCACTTGCCAGCACTGGGCAAGACCAAGGGTGAAGAGTTCGTTCCAGTACGCTTTTACCAATGATATGCTGTTTTCTTGCCTAGTATAAACAGAAACAAAAGCACACATCAGACATGAACTTCACATTGATCGATGCACTTAAGAAAACACCAGATTCCAGCTAGTCCGGCAGACTCATGGGCATACACCTGAGAATCCTGTGTTCTGTACACTCGACAGAAGTCCATGAAGAGCGCCTAGAAATCTGATTCTCAGCTCGCTCACCATCAATCAGCCAGTCCGTAAGAACAGCTACACTAAGATTTACAGTAAGCCAAGTAGAGAGGGTTCTGAACTTTCCCAGGCAAAAACACACAAAAAAACAACAGGCTATGTGCCTGAGGTAATATACGTGTCAGTTACCCTGAGGTGATCATTACACATTGTATGAATGTGGAAATGACCTGGTGCTCTCTGTAGGCATGCACACTTTCTATAAATCAATGCCAGTAAGAAAAAAATTGCAAAAGAGTTAAATGGACAGGCCATGACATGCCAAGCACTGGTGAAATGGGAGTTGACATGAGGATTATGTCTGCCTATGAAAGAGAAGGTTACATAAATGTGTGACTTTAGATATTTTATATAAGTGTTATGGAAACATATACATACTATGTATACAGTTAACTTCAGGCAATTAAATTCTACTTGCTATGAAGGAGACATGCAAGAAAGAGAGAGAGAGAGTCAGGGGAGAGTACTCTGAGGCAATGTCATTCAATAATTAGAAGATGGGAGGTACTTTAAAAAAATTTATATGCACGTGCATGTGACTGTCTGGCTATATATGGTGTGTGTGTGGCAAGTGTGTGTATATGTCTATGTGGTGTGTGTGAAGTGGGTGAGTGTGTGGTGGGGGGGTGGGGTGTGCGAGCACATGGGTGTGTCCTCCGAGGCCAGAGAACACACTGGATGCTCTGGAGCATTACAAACTACTGAGAGCCTGTTGTGGACCTTAGGACTTGAACTCAAGTCTTCTGCAAGTGCTCTTAAGCACTGAGACATCTCTCCAGCTCCGGGAGATAAATTCTAAAACACAAAAATGTTGGGATAAGCTTGCAATCCCAGCAGTCGAGAGGTGGAGGCGGAAGGGTTGGGGGTTCATTGCAGTGGCTGAGGCAAGCCTAGGCTACAGAAAATACTACCCTAAGAATCCAGTGACTACAGAGAAGTCTTGCAGCAATAAGGGGGAATGGCAGTGATGGCTAATGCTGCTGTCGGTGCCACTATGACTCCCGTCATGATGGACAATATGATTCCTTAAACTGACATGTCAAAATAAAACCTTCTTCCTCAAGCTGCCTCTGCCTGGGCAGTGAGACAAGCGACGAGACGAGAAGGGCAATATTCGGTGTTCAGTGGAGGGCTGGATGCATTTCTACATGCCCCATCTTCTCCGAGAAGTTCTCTCTCTACCTGACTTCCCAGTTAAGAGATCCACTCGGTCTCTGAGGGCCAGAGGGAGCCTTTTCTGTTGTGCTGCTGAGGACTGGACCCTGACCCAGGGCCATGAGCCACAGCTCCAGGCCAGGAGTTGCAGCTATGTGTTTATTGATTGGTTTTAGTTTGAGGCAGAGCTTTGCTATGGAACCCTTGGTGATTTGGAATTCATGGTCCTCTCACTCCTGCCTCCCTATTGCTAGGATTTCAGGCGTGTAACATGATATCTGGCCTCAGAGCGCGTGTCTTTGAAGAAATGCCCTCTCATGGCTGTCTCCCTCGAGTCCCCTTTGGTGCTTACCTATCCATCTAGCCAGAGTTTATGCAGATTTCATAGTTTCCTAGATTGTTGTGCTAGGGGTCTGTTTGCCACACTACTCAAAGGTAGAGATTCTCTTGTGTATTTCTTCATGGCAGTGAAGAGCTCAAATTACATGGTCTATAGAAAGAAAAATCCACTTTTTGTTTCTTTGTTTTGTTTTTTATTTTATCTTTGAGGATATTGATCAGGAAAAAGTGAGGACTTTAAAAAGAGAGAGAAGCTATAGGTGCAGGTATTTTTACAAGAAAGAAAATCTTCAAGGGAAACTTATATTTTATTATAAGACAAATTGTTGATTTCTTTCCTTTCTCCAAAGGGATTCAAGTTAGTAAAAACATGCCTCTAAGAATCATGCTCATGCTGTTGACTACACATAAATTATTTCCTTCTTGAAAATGCCACAAGGTGTCAGCGGGATGGGCAGAAGGTAAAAGTGCTTGTCATCATGCCAGGCCACCTGCCGATCCCCAGGCCCCACGTGGTACAAGGAGAGAACTCACTACGGCAGTTGCCCTCTGGCCTCCACATGTGTGCTGTGCCATCTTCATCCCATCTCCCAAGCACAGGATAAATTAAAACACAATTTAAAAAGGAACTTGGAAGTTTGTGCATTCGCTGCGCATAAGTGCGCTCAGTACGTACACATACATCAAGACAAGTAACAAAAAGACAGAGCCTGATGCTGCCACCTAAGCGTGTACAGGGTGTGACACGGTGGGGCACGTGTGCACACAACGCACTTGGAAGGCTGAGGCAGGAGGACTGTGTGAGTACTCGGTCAGCCTGGGCTGCATAGTAGGTTTCCAGCTGGCCTGGGCTGGGGTGTGCCATGCTCTTACCACGCCCTTCCCAGCAGCCCGGAGTTTACAGGAAAGTTGCTCCTCTCGGGAATTCAGTACTTGGGAAGAATGGCCTGCCCCCAGAAGAAACTAGTGATGGGATGAGCCTGAGAGCAACGCTCACATGCAGAGAAGACCAGGACCTTTAAACTTCCACGCACAAAATGATGAAGAGAGATCCATCCCGGTTAAAATCAAGGAAAATAAGAGGACAGTGTGTTCAGCTGTCAGAAATGACAAGATGCAGAATCAGGAATAGTGGTGGAAAAAAAAGCACCATTCGTCCATTGCTGAGGTGAGCATAGCCAGTACTTCCTGGGAACAATTCCTAATACTCTCAGAGCACACATGCATACCTTATATGACATGGCAGTTCCCCTGGGGAGAACCTACTTTATGGAAATACTAACACATCTGACAAACTGCGCTTGGTGGCACTACGGAGAATAAGAAAGCCGGCAACAGCCCAAATGTCTATGATAGAGATGAGTATGTAAGTTATAATACTCCCATGGACAGGCAGACATTGGGAAAAAAAATGGGAATTTATACATGTGACACAGGAAACTTAATAGTGTAATATGATAATCAAGGAAAAGAACACAATGTGCCAATATGTCGGGTGTTTGGATGTTTAATGACCATGGCCTGGAAAGAACTGGCAGGGAACTGAACGCTCAGCAATGGGATCAGTTTTCTTCTGGAGAGGTTTTACTTTATAGCTGTATACTTCAGGGTTACTTTAGGCATGAAGAAAAAGGGAAAAACAAACCAGCTTTCATCTTAACGTCTGATTCTGAAGTTTCAAAAAGAAAACAGCTGACCAAAGTAGTTAAGTAGTGTGGTGGATTAAACACTTAATCCCCACCTGGTAGAACTGTTTGGGAAGGATTAGAAGTGGTGGCCTTTTGGAGGAGTTGTGTCACAGGACAAGGAATTGAAATTGAAAAGACCCAAGCCATTCCCAGTATTTCTCTCTGCCTCTTGCTTGAGGCTCAAGATATAAGCTTTCAGATGCCTAGCTGACTGTCTAGTGACACACTTCCTGACATGATGGTCATGGACTCTAAACCCCCTGAGAACATAAGACACCCCCCCCCCCCCCCCCCGCCATACACACACAAAACTTTTTCCTCAACAAATTGACTTGATCATGGCATTTTTATCACAGCAATAGAAAAGTCACTGGGACAAAAAGCAAATATAGGAAAGTAAAAGTAACGGTGGAAAAAAAAAAAAACAATGGAGCTGGTCTTTGCTACTAGAAATGCCTTGACCTCATGGAGAAAGCACAGAGAACAGCTTACACTCAGTGCAGAGGATGAGAAATGTTGGGAAAGTAGCTGACAGGGTAGCTGAGAGTAAATTGCTAGATTAGTTTATTGCCAGAAAGAGCGTCAAAGGGTTAACTGTAGAAATCAATTACAGAAGGATATCCACCCAAGTTTATTCAAAACAAAACTCCAACTAGGGACAGGGTTTTTGACTGGAGTCTCAGCACCTGGGAAACTGACACAAGAGGAATAAGAGTTCAAGGCCAACCTGAGCCACAAAGTGAGTATCAGACTATCCTGGAATCATGTCAAGACCGTGAATCATGGGAATGCTTGCTGTCAGAATTTTTCTGTTAGGAAATAACTATTACAGTCACCATGTAGTACTTATTTTCAAACAGCCCCAAAAGTATTAACAACAACAAAAGCATTACATTAACCAAGCCCCCTATGCCTGAGGCCAACCCAACCTTTTAGCATCCACATAAGTACAGCAATGCATTAACCAGCCCTGCCCCCACCACACACATTTGTTTGAACTGAATCTATGGCCCTTAGAGAAAAATAATCAACAATATGCAAAAAAATCCACTGGTTGCAGAAGACATGCACTGTTAATGGAAGTACAGCAGCTTGACTTTGAGGTGAAGTGTTAATGAAAGCTTATGTAAATTATAATGTCTGTTGTGGCAAATGACGTGCCCTAGAACTTTTGGTTTTAAGAGTCCAGGTAGAGTTGGGCATGGTAGCACATGCCTGCAATCCCAGCACCTCAAAGACTGAAGACAGGAGGATTGACATGAGTCTCAAACTGAGTCAGCCAAGGCTACACAGTTAGACCTTGTTGAAAACAACAACAACAAGGAATCCAGGGCAGAAGAGGCTGGAGAGGTAACTGGGTGGCTAAAGTACTCACCGCTGACCTGACAGCGTGATCTCAATCCCTGAAACTAGGAGAGAACTGGCTTCCATGTGAGCCCTGTAATGCACGTGCCCATCAAGATCGACACACACGCACGCGTGCACACACATACACACAAATATATACACATACACCCTAACAGCCCTGCTAGTGTCCACACTCTGGGCACATTAAATAGGCCCCAGCTTCTTAATCTATTGAAAATGTGGAATCATTTACCTAAATCGTACAGAATGAATTCCTCACACAATAAACTACAGATCTTAAAGGGAAAAATAATCAACATTCTTATTCAATACAGAGTCCATAATAAAATGTCACTAACCAAATTCCCACCCAAGTCACTGGAAAAAAATGTGCCTGACTACGGTTGTCTGCATCTCTCTGTGGACAATTTCTGTATCCAGCTAGGAAAATTCAGCCCCTATGTCAGTCAGACTCAGAACAGCCTTTTATCTCCGAACAACAGAATTTCCCACCATTAGCATCCAGCTCTTATCTGGTTAAGTCAACACATAAAAAGGATTTAGAGATTATCTAGGCAGAGATAAGAAGTAGGAGTTTATGTAGCAGCTAATGGCCTGGATTGTTAGCTCAACAGCTATTCTAATTAAGAGCCCAGTGGCTGCTGCACAGAAACTGATTTCCAGTACAGATAGCAGAGAAGAGTGGCTGCCACTGTAAAATTAATTATTCTGTAAGCAGAGACCTCGGGCTCTAGTCTTAGTTTCTTCAACACTGTGGCACATTCCACAGAAGTACTTAAAAACAATAGCGCTGTGACTAATCAAGAGAGCTCAGATTATACTTCCACACCTCCCCGTCTTTTTTTTAAAACTAAAATAATGGGTAGTTTATTCTGGGTTGAAAAAAAACCCTCTAGGTTGCTTTTCTGGCCTAATTATGAGTTTGGCGATGGCACTTAATGTCTAACAAATAGCAAGACATCAGCATGGTAATGTTTTAATACCACAATTTCATTTTTCCTTTAAAATATTGAAGTAATACTAAAAGCTGAATATTATTGAGACAAGAAGGGAAGATTCATTCAAAGGTCACACCCTCTAAATCAGATCGCTGATCACCTAGTAACCAAATCGTGGTATCAGCTATGTCCTTTGAAATCAGGGCTCATGTGTCCCTTAGTTATAGAGTCAAAGTATTTTATCATGTTAGGAAGGGGTAGTTATTTCCATGTGCCAAGTGGGAAAACAAATGAACAGGCCAGGAAAGTGAATGGTTTCAAAATCAGGTTGAATACGAGGTCCTGTAAGTAAGCTAAAGCTCGCTGACTATCAGCTTGGCCTGTCCATTGTCATGTGACAGTTACTTTAAACAGTGGTCTGGCAAACTTTTGTGAAACTTTGCTTTCTTAGAGTAGATCATTTTCCATTTCGTCTGATTGCTTCAGAACAGAAATATAGATATGGTTAGAGCACATTTTTAAAATGGTCAATGGAGGTTGGCAGTTTTTTTTTTGTTTGTTTGTTTTATCTTTGAAGAGGAAAGTAGATGATTGGAAATGACCTCCAATTTAAACATAACCATGTAAGGCAAATACTGCTTGCTACTGCCATGCCTTCAATGAATAGTGAAACAAGGTTGTTGTTGGGGTGGCGGGGGAGGCGACAACTGCCCAACAGGAGTATCTGGCCTTTTAATACTGCACAAGGCATGGCCACCTACAAAGCCCACTCACAGATCACAGCATCAAATTACAATACATAAACACAATTAACACATATCACAACCTACACTGCTGTATGATTTTATACCAGGCTGTGTTTATAGCTATCTTTGGCTGTATGTGTCCCCTGGCCACGAGGCTAGATATGCCTGAGTTCTGACACATTCCAATCTTTAAAAAAAGAAAATGTGTATGTGTATTTTGCCAGCCTGTCTTCCTGTGCGCGATGTACATGCCTGGTGCCAGCAACAGAATCAGAAAGAGGGCACTGGATCCTCCGAGCCTGGAGTTAAGAAGGCTGTGAGCCACCAGGTCGGTCCTGGAAACAGAACCTGGGTCTTCTGCAAGAACAGACAGTGCTCTTAACCACTAGGCCTCTCCCCGAACCCCAGACACTACTATTACTGAATTAATAAAAGATGGCCATTGCCAATGCTGACCACAATTTGTCCTCTCCATTTACCTAGATTATTCACTTGTTCAAACTATAAAACATGGCTGCTCTTCCACACAAAAAGTAATAGAGAAAATAGTAGTTAGCTATCATGAACTGTCACATAAATAGACTGGTAGACCATTTTTCTACTGTAACACAAATCCTCCCCAAATAAAGTTCTTGTTTAGATACATGTGTGCCACAAAAATCACATTTATATTCAAGGACTTCAAAACACTCACCCTAGTGCCTGGAAAGAAGGGATGGAAAGTGCCCAATGCATCGATAAGAACAGCAGTCTGGAGGCCGACTCCCCAATGTAGTGCACATTCAGGTACTCGGGCACAGGAGAAGGCATGGTGAGCTAGCGTGAACAGGGATTTAGGTAAATCATCTCATGACTCATAGTTCTCAAATTATCAGTTCTCTGAAAAACTTGAATATATAACACATCCTGTAGGAATTCTGTATCCTCACCTACAAAACCTAATACTGAAATAATTCAAGTCTCTGGATATTATAATAGTGCTTAGAAGAAATGAGCAGATCATAAATTCAGTGTAATAACTATCCAGGCAAGCAGAGACTCTCAGCTAATGGCTATCAGACATGATCTGTCTATTTATGAAGTTACTATCTTGGTACATTGGTGTGTTTTCCTCCCCTCTCCCTTCTCTGTATCAGAAGCCTGTCTGCTGAAGGTGCCTTCATTTAGGCTAGTTATGCTGGCAGGGATGGCAGAGGAGTGAGCGTGAAGCAGGCTGGCTAGTGCCTACCGAGGAGAGCATGCTTGCAGACACGTGGCACAACTATGGCCTGAATGAAGCAAAACAAAACATTGGAGCCGGGGCTCAACACCGACACTCCTTCAGTTCTTCAAAAAGCAGGTCTGTGCAGCGCAACCCTATCCTAGAATATTGTTTTGGATACAAGAGTACGTTTAAAAAAAAAATCTATGGGAAAACTGTGTTCATAGGAAAGCAACTCAAAGGCTATTAGTTTGTACTGTTATAAACAAATAAATAAGTAAAATTGAGTTTGACTTTAGATAGTTATTTTAAGTGTCAGACCACAGTGAAAATAAATCCTCTATCAAAATGCTTCTGAGAGAACCCTGAGAATCTTAAGGAGAGCTGATACCACAAAATGTGGCACAGGTGAGGAACACTTTTTCTGTATTGAAGCAATAGTACTGACCTCAGTGGAACCAGAGAAGTAAGCACCCTCAGTGACCGGAGGAAATCTGGCTGTTCATCTACCAGCATTGGAAAACTGAGTCATATCTTGTAACCTTAAACATTTTTGAACAACCCTAATCTAAAAATCTATACTCAGAACCGTTTTGGGGATCAATGCGTACAGTTTCAGAGATCAGCCCTTCTTAGATTTTTGGATCAGCAGTGTTCAACTATAAAAAACTCGGAATATCTACCCCCAAATCTGAGAAACTGCAAAATCTTACACATTTCTGGTCCTAGGCACCATTTCCAAATCTATTCTAGAAAAACACGCATACACACAGGAAATCACAGGTAAGGATGTCCACTGTAGCTCTGCTTCTAACAGTGATGTTAAATGGTGGGACAACTCGAATTTCCTTCATTAGCAAAAAGAATAATGTCCACCACAGAATAGGTTACAGGTATCAAAATTGGCAAGAAAAGTTGAGATGATAGTAAAGGCAAAAATCTGCCAGGTGTGGTGGTGCACACCAGTTACCCAGGTTTGGGACGGATGAAGCGGGAGGACAGCAGGCTTGAAATTGAGGCCAGGCTGGTCTGTGCAGCAAGTTCTAAGCAGTCTGGGCTCCCGGGCAAGATCTGCACTAAAACAAAACAAAACAAAAGCCCCACCGACACCCAAGTAGACAAAATAGCAAAATAAAATGTAGCTGACTGACTTTCTGCTGCAGTGGAAAGGGCAGGGGGGCTCCGGAGAGTGGACAGCAGCTGCCTGGCGGGTGGGGTGGGGGTGGGGCGGAACTGTGCCCTAAGTTCTTTCCTGTGTGTGCAAGGGCACCTATGGGACTGCGAGTGCAGGGTGGAGGGCGGCCTTATTCCTAACATATCACGCTGTTGCAAAAGAGCCGCTCACTGGCTCCGGATGGAGCCCTGGGGAAGCCCCAGGGAAGCCCATCTCTGTGTCCACAAAGCTGCGACTAGAAGTGGAGAGCAACACCGCTGTTTGTTTATTTAAAGTGGGGTCTGGGATTCAATTTCAGGTCCTCGTGCTTATGAGGCTTCACTGATTGAGCCATCTTTCCAGCTCTCAATATTATTTTCCTAGGGGATTAATATACAGCTTCGATCACATCCTCAAAGGTATCTATGATACCAAAAGACCAAAGAGTTTTCATCAATAAAATATAAAAGTTTTCTAGGAATGTCAGATAAAATATTAAAAACAAGAGCTGGAAAGATTCCTCGCTGGTTAAGAACAGTGGTGGCTCATCCAGCGGACAGAGTCTGATACCCAGTATCCATAAGGTGGCTAACAACCTCTGTAACTGTAGTCGCAAGGGCTCTGACTCCCTCTTCTGGCCTCCTCGGGCACTGCACACATGGGCAGCACTGGCATCCATGAAGGCAAAACACCCAGATACTTAAATGTTAAAACTTCTTCTTTTTAAAGTAAAAAAAACAAAAGTTAAAGTTAAATCAAGATCACATAAACAATTAAAAAAGTCCTATAACCCCTACGGAAACAGAAGCAGATATTAAAAGCCTCCCAACCAAGAAAAACCCAGGGCCAGACAGTTTCAGCACAGACTTTTACCAGACTTTCAAGTTAAGACTTAATGCCAATACTCCTCAAATTAGTCCACAAAATAGAAGAAGAATGAACATTCCCAATCCATTTTATGAGGCCACAGTCACCATGATACCTAAATTACATAAAGACTCAAGAAAGAAACAGAATTACAGACAAATTTCCTGTCTGAACATATCTGTAATACTTGCAAACTGAATCCAAGAACACATCAAAAAGATCATCCACCAAGATCAAATAGGCTTCATTCCAGAGATGCAGGGGTGGTTCCACATAGGCAAATCAGTGAATGCAATCTACCATATAAATAAACTGAAAGAAAAACACACGCATGATCATGTCATTACATGTGCAAAAAGCCTTTGACAAAACCCAACACCCTTCATGATTAAAAGTTCTAGAAAGATTAAGGATACAAGGGACCTACCTAAACACAGTAAAGGTAGCTTACAGCAAACCTGTAGCCAACATTAAATTAAATGGAGAGAAACTCAAAGCAATTCCACTAAAATCAGGAACATGAAGAGGTTGTCCACTGTCTCCCTATCTAATCGATATAGTACATGAGGTTTTAGCTACAGCAATAAAACAACTGAAGGAGATCAAAGGAATACAAATTGTACAGGAAGAAGTCAAAGTATCACTATTTACAGATGATAAAATAGTATATATAAGTGACCCTAAAACTTCTACCAGGGAGCCCCTAAAGATAATAAACACTTTCGGAAAAATGGCTAGATACAAAATTAACTAAAAACAAACAAACAAACAAAAAACCCCACAAAACAAAACAAAACAGTAGCTCTCCTATAAACAAATGACAAATGGACTGGAAAAGAACCCTGGGAAACAACACCCTTCAAAATGCCTCAAATAATATAAAACATCTTAGGAGTTAACTCTAACCAAGGAAGTGAAAAGCCTGTATGTTAAAAACTTCGAGTATGAGACTGATACTCCAAACAAGGACCGTGCATGGAGATAACTTAGAACCCCTGCACAGAAGCAGCCCATGGCAGCTCAGTGTCCAAGAAGGTTCCCCAGTAATAGGAACAGGGACTGTCTCTGACATGAACTCATGGGCTGGCTCTTTGATCACCTCCACCTGAGGGGGAAGACAGTCCACAGAGGAAGACAAAGAAGCCAGTCCTGATGAGACCTGATAGACTAGGGTCAGATAGATAGGGGAGGAGGACATCCCCTATCATTGGACTGGGAGAGAGGCATAGGAGAAGAAAAGGGAGGGAGGGTGGAATTGGGAGGGGATGGGAGAGGGGGCTACAGCTGGGATACAAAGTGAATAAACTGTAATTAATAAAAATAAAATAAAAAATAAACTCTTCAAGTCTTTGAAGAAAGAATTTGAAGAAGATCTCAGAAGATGGAAAGATTTCCCATGCTCATGAATCAGTAGGATTAACAAAGTAAAAATGTCCATCCTACCAAAAGCAATCTACAAATTCAATGCAAACCCCATCAAAATTCCAACACAATTTTTTACAGGCCTTGAAATAGCAAACCTCAACTTCATATGGAAAACAAAAACAAAACAAAACAAAACAAAAACAAAACAAAAAGTGTTGGGTGTTGATCTAGTGCTATATATTCTGATGCTAATTATTGGACCCCAAGATCTGGTTGCTGCCCAGATGATAAGAAACTCATGTACCCCAAATGATGTTTGTAACCTTGCCTAGGAACTTATTCCTGTTTGGCCAATAAAAAATGCTGACACACCTAGGCAGGGCAAATGGGGTAGGCGTGGCTAAGGTTCGTGGGCTTGAAGAAGAGAGGATCTTGGGAAAGAGAAGGAAAGAAAGGAAGGAGGACAACACCACAATGGGTTAAGAGAAAAGGAACCATGTGGGCCAGGAGAAAGGACTCCAAGAATGTCTTGGAAAGGAATGGTCCAGATGAAGAGTACAAGCAAGTATCTTGGGATTATGGATGGAAGGAAGCCCAGATACGAATGGGTAAAGCAGATAGAATAGGATGGGAGCTGGGAGATATGAGGTAGCATAGGTGGAATTATCTGTCCAGCCAAGGTGTTATAAGGCAATTATAATAAATATCAGGAGTCTGTGTCCTGTATTGAAAATAACAATGGGTTAGATAATACTTCTATAATAATCATAGGACTAATAATAAACATCATTAGGCCATACCATTAAATTAATGTGCCTTTATTTATAATATCCAGAAATTGGAAACAACCTAGATGTCTCACAACCAATGAATAGATGAAGAAAATGTGATACATTTACACAATGGAGTATCACTCAGCTGTTAAAAAAAATGACATCATGAAGTTTATAGGCAAATGGATGCAACTAGAAAAAAAATCATCCTGAGGTGAGGTAACCAAGACCTCAGAAAGACAAATATGATCAGTGCCTTGTCCAGTGGTCATCAGAGGCTTCCTCCAGCACCAGATGGAGGCAGTTACATAGACCCACAGCCAGACATTACGCAGAAAGAGTCTAAACTGGAGGCCTAGTATTGGGTCCCTGCCCTTGGAGCTCAGGGAACTTCCTGGAAGAGGGGAAGGAAAGATTGTAGGAGTCAGAGGGGATGGAGGACACCAGAACATGGCCCACAGAATCAATCACACAGGGCTCGTACGGGCTCAGACTGAAGTGGTGAGCATGGGCCTTGTATCGGCCTTCACCAGGTCCTCTACATATATTATGGCTGTTAGCTTGTTTTTTTGTTGGACTTCTGACAGTGGAAGCAGGTATATCTTTGAATCTTTTGTCTGCTCTTCGGATTCTTTTCCTCCTATTGGGTGGCCTTGTCCAGCCTTGATAGGAAGGCTTTTGCCTTGTCTTATTGTATCTTGTTTTTTCATATTTGGTTGTTGTCTTTGGAGGCCTGTTCCTTTCTGAAGGGAAATGGAGGGGGAGTAGAGCCGGAGGAGGTGGGATGAGTTAAAGGAGGGGAAACTGTGCTCTGATGTATGAAAGAGTATCTTCAATAAAAACATTTAGGTAAAAAAAAGTCTTTGCTCAAAATTAGGTACAAAGGTTTACCTAGTTCTTATCAGAATAGAATGTAGGACTTCCTTTTGCTTGTATATTACGGTTTCCAGTGTTTTATGGTATGCATATGTGTATATGTGCTTCTTGTACTTTTTCTTTTTACTTCTGGTTTGTTTTTTGCCTGAATGTTCTAAAAGGACAGAGAGGTGGGGTGTGGAGTTGGAGGGGCAGGGAGGTGGGGAGGATCTGGAGGAGAGGGGGAGGGGTAACCAGGATCAGAACAAATTGTATGAAAATATTATTTTCAATAGGATAAAAAAGAAAGAATGGGCGACCGCAAGCGTTCTACGCATGTACTTTTACCTACAGTGCTGGGGACTGAAGCAAGGGCATTATGTGTACCGCACAGACACTTCACCGATCGTGCCACACCCCTAGTTTGGTTTACCTACTTGTTAATATTGATAGCACCAAATGATGAGACAGGGAAACAGATGGTTTAAATACTATAGGAAAAAAGGGGATGGGACACAGAATGTCTTTTGAGGGCTGAACCCAGGGCCTTGGGCATGCTAAGAATACATTCCATCCCTAAACAATAACCTGCAGACTCATGAAGAAAAAGTATAGTTGTTCACTGGGGCAGCAAAATAAAACAGGATTCAGGAAACATTTCTTTAAAAACACCTGTGTGAAAAAAAAATTAAAAAAAAAATAAAAACACCTGTGTGAGTGAGAGAGAGAGAGAGAGGGAGAGAGGTCTATGTCCACTTTTGTGTACAAGTGTATGCAGAGGAATCACAGCCTAATGCTAAGTGTCTTCCTCTGTTGCTCCCCCCTCTTCTTTTTACTTATTGTGATTGTAACATGTGCATGGGTATGGATGTGCACCATGGCATACATGTGGGGGTCAGAGGACATGTTTCAGAGACGTACTTCAGGGGTCCAACTCTACCTGGTCACTTCCCTGCTGGCTCCTCCCCTTGCTTCTGGGGCAGGGTCTCTCCCTGATACAGCAAGACTGGCTGGCCAGTGAGCTCAGGGAGCCTCCTGCAGGTCTCCTCAGAGCTAGGATCACAAGCGCACACACCATGCTTCACGCTTTATTTTGATGTTGTTGATCTGAACTTGGGCCCTCATGCCATGTGAAGAACTTACTGACTGAGCCAAGCCCCCTCCCTGCTCCACAAGGCAATTCTTAAGAGAATTCTTAAGTGCTTTACAACAAGGATGTAACGACTTTTACATAGAAATAAACGCAAAAGTTTTGGGAAGTATACCATTTAAAAATTTCCTATGGGTAAGGGATGCTACAAAAGGACAATACTTGTGAGCTGGGTGTGGTAGCACCTGCCTGTCTTCACAGCACATTAAGAGGACTGGGAGTTCACAACCAGCATGTGCTATGCAGCAAGACCCTGTCTCAAAACCCAAAGTAACAAAAAGAAATCTGCAGAAGAAAACAACACCCTCCAAAAAAACCTCAAAACCCTTTGCCAAATAGTTTTAAGCCACCTTTAAACAAATAAAATACTAGTAGTGTGTTTTCCTTATTTGCCTACTAGTGCAGCTTCTAGATAAAATTCTAACTATCAGAATAAAACTTTCAAAAGGGGGAAAATAAACACCTCACTTGACTTGTTAGGGGAGGTTTTGTGACTCTGGATTAGCCATTAAGGTGACTGATAAACCGCTGAGAAAACTAGGAACTGTTGTCTCAGAACTCAAGTTTCAACACTGAGACCTGTGGGCAGGGTTAAAAATGGCACGTGTAGGAAGGGATGGAGACTTGACTTGTGAAAGGTTTTACAAGGTCATGTGACACAGCCTGGCCTGAATCCCACAGGAGCAACGGAAGCTATGAAATACACTGATTGGTTGTTTTTTTTGTGACAGGGTCTTATTACATGTTAAATTGTCAAGTGACATAGTGGGTTGATTTTTAACAAAGCTTATGCTGGTTTTAGAATCCAGGAAAAGATACAGAAGATATGAGGAACATAAAGATATTACTGTGACAATTTAAGCTAGAACTTTAGAAGAGCTTTAAAATACAATGATGGAAACAAACAAGAAGAGGAAAATTGAAGTAACAGGATGGTTAGTCACAGCCATGCAGGACAAATGAGGTGGTGAGTGGAGCAGTCACAATAGTTTTGGAAACCACTGCAATATTGGCTCATATATTTACTTCAAAGGATGGAAGTCCCATTTACCTTAATTACTCTTATAAGAATGACATTAAAGAGATTTTTGAAATCATATCTCAAAGTCATTAAATAAAGCATTAATTATTACTATCATCCTAGATTCTTTTCTTACAGTTATTTTATCAGCTAGTTTCTCTTTACCGTATTTTTGGTTGCTTTGAGTAAAACACTAAAATATACAAATCTTAATTCAACAACAAAATGAGAAGAAAACTTCATCCAAAGGAAGGTGGCGTGGCTCAGCTGACAGAACAGATGTGAGAATATGCAAATTACATCGGACACACAGAGCTAAAGGCTGCTCTGCTCGGGGATTTGGAGGACAGCCAACGATCTGGTTGAGGATGTCAGCTCCCTGAGACTCGGGCCCAAGAGCACCAGTGGGAGAACTGACTGTGAAATGACTGCAGTTGTGGAATCACTGAAAAATAAACTCTGCCCAGGACTGGAAGCAAAGCCTGAGAGACAACCCGCCAACTCCAGAAAGAACAGCCAGAGTTTGAATTTGTTTAATTCTCTGTCCAAAGCATTTATTTCATACAATTAAAAATATGAGAACCAATCAATATAAGGAAATTGAACAGCTGCTCACTAAAGGTTCCTGCTTGCACTGGGTCTCTGCCTACATCTCTCTTGTTGTCCTTCCTCCAATCTAAGTCCAGAGCAGGAAATGAAACTGGGAACACAAAAAAAATGTGTTTTATTTAGAATATGAAAGGATAATGGGAAAGAGCATTTTGCCTTGATTCATTCACCCTTGTCTGTAGCTCCAAGAATACCTTTTTTTTTTTTTTTTTAATTTGAGACAGGGTTTCTCTGTGTAGCCTTAGTTGTCCTGTACTCACTTTGTAAACCAGGCTAGCTTCCAACTCACTAAGATCCACCTGCCTCAGTCTCCCAGAGTCCTGGGATTACAGGCATGAGTCACTGTGCCCAACCTGAAGAATAACTTTTAAGCATGGCATTAATTATTCTCATTATCTTTTCTGTGAATTTTTTTTCTTGTGCAGTGCAGATAAATTGCTTGAAGCTGGGTGGTGGTGGCACACGCCTTTTTAATCCCAGCAGTCGGGAGGCCAGCCTGATCTATGGAGTGAGCTCCAGGACAGCCAGGGCTACACAGAGAGACCAAGTCTTGGAAAAACAAAAACAAAGCAAAACAAAACAACAAAAAATGACTTAAATTTTTTTCTAAGTTATCTTCAGTAAAATTTTTACATGAAAACTGGTTTCTCTGATGTATTTAACTGGCATATCATGCTGCAGCAATTATTAAGCCATAGTTAACACTTTCTGTAGCTATTCCAACTAAGCTGAATTTTGAAATACCAATCTCATGTGGTGTTTTGGTCTATGATACATTTATTTTCTGTCCATTATTTTTACTGGCAGTACAGAAACTTATTTGCCTAGTTATAAATGTTTTCCTAAGAGATGTAGAAGAGTTTATAATCATTCTCAAGTGTCTCGCAGGGCAAAGATCCAGGCAGGGGTCAGCTGTGCTGTTAATGGGATCTCAGTGGGGGCACGGCCCCAGCTCTGTCCAGCGTATTAACTGGATAACAAGTCAATTGCTGGAGGGTCATCTCTTAGGCTTCCTGGGTACCATTTCTAGCAGTCTACCTGTTTCCACAGACAGAGCTGCAGAGGGGGCAGCGGCGGCGTGCTTGCCTGGCCTACGTAGGGCCTCATATGCAGGGCACATGTACGGCTCCATCCCTAGTGCCACTATCAAATGTACTGGGGAGAGCAAAATAAATTTCAAACGCTCCTTTCCCAAAACTTTTTTTTTTAAAGTACTAACAGTTAAAAACCTAAGGCTAAAATGCATTATGTGCACCCTCATGTGATAATGCTGAAGGGTAGGAAGATAACTCACACATTTACCATTTTTATCTTTATCATTTTTAACGAAAGAGCAAAACATCTGGGTCTTAGATCCCAATTTACACTGAAAAAAATAGCAGGCATGCATCGATCAAAAGCTGTGCACTCAGTTCACAGTGACCATCTAGGCTTACTGGAAGAAAAAGCAACTGCTCCTAAAATCTAACCAACTAACCGCACTGTAACAACTGACAGCAAGATGACCCACTGTCTAGGGCGGGGCAGTGTTTCAGTTCTGAAAGTCTACCAGGGTTATTTCTGACTTTAAAAGTGTAACAGGCAAATCGTGACTGGAAAATCAAAATCAAGCTGTAACATGAGATAAAAAAAAAAAAAAAACAAAAAGAAAAAAAAATTAAAGATACCCTGAAGACTACATGTGAATCGCTGAGAAGCGGCCCTTCTTTCTCCATGCAGCTCGCCTCGCCGGTGATTAGATGCACGCTCCCATCCATGGCCTCTACAGAGCTCTGACAGGCTGTGCTTCCCCCAGGGGTCAGAGCTTTCGCAAGAGTGTCAAAGGCCCTGTAAGGAGACACCAGAAGCTGTGAGCTTGGCCAATCTCCGACAATGAAATGAATTTCTTTCCCTGTTTGAGACAGGGTTTCTCTGTGCAGCCTTCCCTGTCCTGGACTCGTTTTGTAGACCAGGCTGGCCTCAAACTCACAGAGATCTGCCCGCCTCTGCCTCTGGAGTGCTGGGATTAAAGGCTTGCGCCACTATGCCCGGCTACTAAAATGAAATTCTTATACAAAATTCTGGAGTTACAATTTAAGTCAAGGGGCTGTGGGAATAGCTCAGAGGCAGAACACCTATTAGGCCCCCAGCTTGGCCCCCAGGCCTATGGGGAGGGAGGCTCTTTTCCAAATAGGGTAGGGGTATGGCTCAGTGGTAGGAGGCTTGTGTGGTGTACACAGGAGGCCCTCAACCCCACCCACAGCACACACAAAACAGACAACAACTAAGCAGGCTTCAGAAACCAGGGCTTTCTTGTATGCCGGCCAGACTGCTGTGTTGAAGTGACCTCTCTGATTGTACAAGTCACAAAATCAACACATTGAACTTAGTAAGTGTAGCTTGTCGTATTATATATTAGCATATTACCATAATCTCCTTCAGTATGAGAGAAGTCCTCATACTTACTCCTACATATACAAGTTACTTCGATCAGACTTGAGCACTGGTCTTCTGAGACACACTTACTTAGCTCGTAAAACGAGTGGGGGGTGGTCAGCACATTGCACTAAGGGCAGAGTTTCAGTTAAACCTTAACATTTTCTAAGTCCTACAGAAATATTGTTATCAGAAACTTTTATAGATGATAGACTTTAATGACAAAACATTTTGACCAATTAAAACGAAGCTTAGAATGATGAGCCCAAACAGCCCTTACCTTGAAACATCACTATTGGTCTGAATGTCTTGATGAAATGCACAGAATGACGTATCACCGTTGCGTAAGCTCTCCACTACGGGCATCTCACTCCTACTGTGAGAAAGGTCTTTGGCTTTGCCGAGGTTTGCTAAGGACGTGACCACATTGGCCAGTGTGCTTAGGTCTCCCTGACGCGCTTCGGCCTTTAAGAAGAAAAGAAAGCACGAACATTTTGCAAAATGGCACTGATACATTTTAAACCCTTGAGTATCAAACTCTAGGTCATGGATACTAATTAATAAATTATTAATAACCATTAATAAATCAAATTCACGAATATAGCAGTTTATTTCTATAATCCCAACGCTCAAGAGGCTGAGGCAGAAGGATCCCCACCAGTTCAAGGCCAGTGTGGGCTCTGTAGTGAATTTCAGACTTGCCTGGGCTACAGAGTGAGAGCCTGCCAAGAGAGAAAGGGAGAGAGAAAAACAACAAGAGAAGTCAGAGACAGACAGACTCTTGAGGAAAATATAAGCTTTAAAATAGGTGTAAGTTCTTTTTTTTTTTTTTACTCCTTCAAACAAAGTTTTAATTGCATATATCATTTAAAAATACGGACCGCTTCACGAATTTGCGTGCCGTCCTTGCGCAGGGGCCGTGCTAATCTTCCTGCATTGTTCCAATTTTAGTATATGTGCTGCTGAAGCGAGCACTAGGTGTAAGTTCTTAAAAGATGCTTGTAAAAGTTTAAAATAAAAATTGTATTCACCAGCTAATCTATTCAAATCATAGTTACTTTCTCTATAAAAGATATCAAATTATATAAGAATTCAAAAATTAACAATGATTTAATATTATGAAAATTTCTAAAATTTCTTTAAGCTTAACTTTTTCTTAGGTGTTTACGTGTATGAGTGTTTTGCCTGCGTATAGTCTGTGCACCACAGGCAGCCTGGTTAACAGAGGGCACCGGATCCCTGGAACTGAAATTACACATGGTTGTGAGCTGCCATGTGGGTGCTGAGAATTGAACGCGTCCTCCACAAGAGCAATATCAGCTCGTAACCTCTGAGCTACCTCATCTCTCCAGCCCCAAAGACTTAGATAATGTGTATTTATATGTGTCGACGTGCCGGTATATTCACGAGTGCACATGCTTCTGGAGCCCAGGAAGGGCACCGGATCCCCTGGAGGGGCAGTTACAGACAGCTGGGAGCCAAATGCTGGGAAATGAATTCAGTCCTCCACAGTAAAAGCAATTTTCACTCTTCACCACTGGGCCATCTTGCTAGCCCCTCAGAACTTCTTACGTAACAAACTGGCACGGAATCTAAGTGCACCAGCTGCCCCTCCTTTGTGAAAATCGTCCTCTCTACAACGCTGTAGCTAAAATCACTGTGTAGGAAGAGCAGGGAAGTTCATTTTTTCTTCCTTTTGGCTCTCAATCATCAAAGCAATGAGCAACTTCTCATAATGACATGTGAGCTTTTGGAAATATCATTTCCAATTCAAAGGCTTTTACATACGTAATGCTTCAATTGAGTAAATTCGTTTGGGGCTGGGGCACTGAGTGGGTGGTTGAATGGCTCGGCGTTATGTGTCTGGGTGCTGGGACTGAGCCAGGAACCTCATGTACGCTGCGTATGTTCCTCCACTGAATGACCACACATAATACTTTGGGGTTGTGAATGATGCAGGGCCAGAACCAGTGCAGGTGGAAGAGGTCTCAGCACAGGCACCCTCCTGCCTTTTTAGGGCCAGCAGGACGACTCCGAGTAAGGGCATACATGCAGACAGAACACTCAGATACATAAAGTGTATAAATAAGTAAAATCTTTTAAAAGAGGAAACAGGAATTGTTGCTCTGTAGTTAAGCATGGGGCTAGGGCTCAAACTCCAGCAGGACGGGCAGGGGGGCATTTTTAAATTGTGCTACATACCTTATCTGGTGTCATTAGCATAGCTGATTCTGTTTTTATTCCAGAATGATGAATATTCACAAACATTCCTGAATCCAGCAGTCCAGATGACCTGTAACAAATGAAGCACAAATTTTAGTCTTACTAGACCTGGGAGAAGAAGCAAATGACCCACTTCTTAAGGTCAGCAGTAGGGCACCTGGCGGTCTCGCTGTCTGTGACAAAGGTCGGTGTCGCAGTCAGCGGGCTCCGGAGGTCTTTTCGGATGTAGATTTTTTCTGTTGAAGCTGCACAGCTGGAAGATTTTTCTCGGGATATTTCAATAGGTTTTCTTTCACACTGAACAGCTATAAAAACATGTTAGACAATTACACTACAATACAGATTTATGCAAATCTGTAAATCTAAACTGTCACCAACATGGCTGAGAACACTGCTTCCAGCTGAACTCCAAGGGCAACCATCAATCTTTACAAAGCCTATGCCTGTTTGTAAAGCTGGTCAATTCATATCTTAGTCTCATTTCTCCCCATTTCAGCTCTCCTATGGTAGAAAAACAGAAGTCTTAAAAAAAAAAAAAAAAACAAACCCCTCACTATCAAGAAGGAAGAACTGAAGGGAGATGTCCCTTATGTATATAGAGTTAAAGAAAAAGAAATTTAATCAACTGAAGATAATACTTATAAAAAAGGCCAAAGTCGGGAGCTGAAGAGATGGCTCAGTGGTTAAGAGCTCAAAAGTTCAATTCCCAGCACCCACGTGGCAGCTCACAACTGTCTGTAACTCCAATCCCAGGTGGTCTGCCCTCACACCAATGCACATAAATAAAATTAAAAAACAGTAAGCATTAAAAAAAGTCTCAGTGGAGCCTTTCTAGTTATGAAATAGCTATGTATTACACATAAGTCCGTCTGCACAATATGCAGTGTCTGTAAGAATTCCGTGAAACCTACAGGGGCAGCGAGGCGTTTGGTAAATGTAGTTTCTTTTAGGGTGGACGGAAGAACAGACTGTCAGAACTCCACACTTTGCTCAGCCACATCTTAGGCGCCTGTCCTCTGGCGAGTCGCCAGCCTTTCTCGGTTAAGGTGGTTACAGGAGAGCTGGCTGCAGAGAACTGCGTGAGAATGAGCGGTTGTGCGCACACACCAGGAGCAGCTTTTGGTACACTGGGGGTTCCGTCAGTATTAGCTGCTGTTACCAAGGTCACATTTTGGGCTTCAGTCATAAAGCACACAGGTGACTAGCTGCTTTAATGATACACAGTTCTAACATTCAGAGTGTTACAGAGAATTTAGGGAAGACAACAAAATCCCTAAAAATTCTATTATGCCCATTAAAACATTTAAATTCCGAGACAACTTACAAAAATCATTTGGGTGCTAAGTGCCAACTGGAAATATGTGCTTGTCACACGAGTAATCAAAAATATTTGTTTATTAAATAATAAATACATATGTATATACTTAATTTTAGTTGGACTATGAATTAAGAGGCACATGTCACAGTTTGAACAGGAATAGCCTTGCTGGAAGGATGCTGGCATGAGTGAATTTTGAGGGCTATGCCCTCACTCCATTTTCTGTATGGGCTCAGATGTGATCGGCCCGCTTCCTGGTTCTGCCTTCTCCCCTTCCGGGATCATAAACCCAAATATGCTTCTTCTTCCTTAACTTCCTTTTGTCATGACATTTAATCCCAGTGACAGAAAAGTAACTAAGACACCATTATACTTGAGCTGCTTAAATATGCTAACGTGTATACACTGTCAATTCGCTGACTTCTTAAAAGCATTACTCCTTTATTGCAAGTACATACAGTCTTGTTTCATTCCAAACGCAATGCATCGCTGTAACCTGCAGTACTGACAGCGGTTTCGGTGGTGTTTATTAATAATACAGTCTTTTGATCCTCGACACGAATATACTAAATTTTTTCGGATGCTTCTTTTAAAAAAACCTTTGCAGCCTTCACAAGTTATTGCTCCATAATGACGTCCTATAGAGATATTTAAGAAAATGGAAAAATACTGTAGATTAGAAGTGAACTAAGTTCATCTTTTTTTATTACAACAACAATATATAAAATGAAATCGTGACTTTGAGCTTCTGGCAATTTTTTTAAGGACTTATTTATGTAGAGAATTAAACAGCCATATCCTGTAGTAAGGTTAATGATATATTGTTTTACATTTTATAACATAATATTAAAAATGTTAGAAAATTTAGGAAAAAAATATAAAACCATCATCAAAATTTTTATTATGCACATTAAAAATTTTAACTCTTGAGAAAACCTATAAATTATAGTTCCGTCATATATAACAGTGTTTTGTTCAGTTTCCTCCTGCTGAGGATTAAATACAACACCTGTAAACGCTAGCCAAGTACTCAACCCCCAACCTGCATCCTTGGCTGTAACAGGTATCTTAATATTACGGCTGTACGCTCCAGAAAAAAGAAAAGTGTTATCTAGTATTGAAATATCATAATCTTTCTTTGTGAGTTCTACTTTTAAAACTTCTTACACAAGCTGTTACAGTCTGTGGCGAGAGAGATGGCTCAGCGGTTAAGAGCACTCACTGCTCTTACAGAGGGCGCAGGATCAAGTCCTCGCACCCATCTTCAGTTACTGTCTGTAACTCTAGTTCTAGAGGATCTGACACCTTCTTCTAGCCTCCACAGGTATCAGACACACACACACACACACACACACACACACACACACACACACACACA